GGGCCTTCCAGATGAGGTGATGTCGAACCCAGTTGATGTGGCAAAGACACGCCTCATGAACCAGCGGGCAGAGGAGGGCAAGCCATTGCTCCCTGGCATTGGAGGTTTTGTCGTCTCCATGTATTTGTTGCTTCTAGGTCGGAGGCCATCGCTAGATATCGCTAGCCGCTAGTAACGGTGGCCATTGCCATTAGGTTGGAGGCCATCGCTAATTGTTAGGTTGGAGGCCATTGTGCTGTTAGGTTGGAGGCCATAATCATTGCTATTAGGTTGTCGTCTCATGTATTTGTTGCTGTTGTATGCTTTGTTGCTGGCTGTCGAGGCTCTACAAGAGCACGGTCCAGACCATGACCACCATCGTGTCACAGGCGCTGATTTCAGGTTTGAAACCGGGGAAGTCTTCGGTCCGGTTTGAGCGCCAGGAAGGTCCACTGGCTCTCTACAAGGGCTTTGCGGCAACCTTTGCCCGGCAGTGCCCTTATGCAACGGCCTAAGCACAGCAGAGGGAGTGGAGACCCGGAGACGGTAGGATGAGGTTTTCGTGTGTCTGGCCCTTCCTATTGTGCTGTGTTTGGGTGAATGAAGGTGGCAGGCGATGGCAGGCTAAGAGCTGCAAGTGGCACATAGAGAGCACGCTTGTAAGTGCATATGACCCCCAAATCCAGCGCGGTTTGTCATGAATGCTGTTTTCCGAGGTAGTCATCACTTGGCTAACCGTGGAGCGGTTGAAGCTTGGAATCCGGCATCTCAAATTCTGGCCCCAGGACCAAGCACTAGCCATCAGCGGGGAAAGATCAACTTGATGTAGGTCCTGATTCTTTTAGTGCACCATGCCATAGTTCGAAGTACTTGCGGCTCAAACATTCTGAGCAATGTGCTGTGAGCAAAGCACGGCAGACAAAGGCGTTGTTCATTGAACTTGGTGAGTGATGTGATCAATATCGTGGCATCCAAGGAAGAAGATTATGAAGGACTGGTGAGTCCTCTCACCGTCCTTGCCCTTGAATGACCTTTCTCACCAGGGTGAGATACTAGCGCCTTCACGGCCGCCATGGCCATGAAGATGGCTCACTTCCCTGAAAGCTAAGGGGGCCCTCAGCAGGCTTTCAAGCAACTCACACCTGAACTGTTTAGGCCTCACGTGCTCTTGTGCCTCTTTCAGGGTAGTCAACAGGCAGCGCCTGTCAATCATTAGCTCTTTTCCCATCATGTGGCCGCACGGCCACAAGGCCTCAGGCGTGCTTAACTCAGGCGGCGAGCCCGAGTGGGTACCTTTTCCAAATTGGGAAGGCATGCAGAAACGGCGTGCAATCCCGCAGAAAAGAGCTCCAGTCAGTTGTGAAGGTGAAGAAATTAATGTCGTGCTTGTCAGGTTTGTAGGTATGCCAGCACAAGGTGCCCCAAAGACTTGGTTTGGACACCAATGAAGCAAGCTGCACAGCCAAACTTGTTAGCCCTGTGTGACTGGTGCCACACAGACTCAACCATGGGCTTCTATGAAGACAGGTCTAGTGCCAGCCCAACCTGGTAGACTCAAAACGGCCTCCAAGCCTCAGGCAAATACCACCTTCATTCGAATGGCAAGCAATGGCTTGAGACTTGGCCATGGTCAAACAGTTCGAGTCTCTCAGTGACACACGTCTTCCCAAGCCTGTTTGTCGCGTGGAAGACTGACATGGTGTCACGTCCCAAGCCACCAGGGTCCTAGAGTTGATGAGTGAAGGGGTGCAGGGTGGAAAGAACAGTTGATTGCATTTGACTACATACCGTAATTACAGCAGCACTCCAGGCAGTGGTCAGGGGGATTATGTTTTCATGTATATATTTTTAACATATCTGAACCTTGAGCCTCTTATCTAGCTGCTATAGCTCCTGTAAGCAGTATCCAGACTCTCGCTGCTGTAGGGCAAAGCCTTAGGAGTGTATTGTGAAGCAGGCGGCATCTCAAAGTTATGGACCTCTGCTATCACCCCCTGCTCAAAGACCCTGTCCTGGCGGCGGCTGATGCAAGTTTTCCCAACTCAGCAACCACCCCTGGCCCAGGTGTCTTTGATGACCAAGCTTTGCGTGCTCTCTCGCGCCCCCCTTCTGCAAGGCCCAAGCAACAAGGCGAGGCAAAGCATGGGCGCAACCACCAAACCGAAACGCACCTTGAAACTTGAAAGAAATACGGCCTGTACAGTCGCACAGCTTGAGTTTGTTATATACACTCCGCAGTGCCGCCTCTCCGCACTGCCAGAATGGTCGGAATCATACAGTCTTTTCAGATATCAGATATATATTATATAGTCATGGAGATCGCGGCTACGCAGAATTGGCTGGAACTCGAAGGGGTTTTGATTTTGGTCGGCTTGGTTCACATATGGTTTGCCGAATCTACGGCAGAACTGTTCTCGCCCTTTCCCCAAGGAGCGGCGGGTTTGCTCACAACTCCTGGTCAGCTTTGCGGAGGCAGGGCACGCAGCCAACTACTGTAAGTCCTCTAAGAGGGCAGGTCTCGGAGACAAGACAGAACACATCCGAAGGTAAGAACATCTACAAAGACGTTTGCATGCCACGGGGTTGCAACTGAAGAGAACGTGTACCCGTGGTTTCCGCCAGTGCATTCTTTTGGTTTTGTTGCGTTTGCCAGGTGCCATTGGTTTTTACCAGTCGAAGAGAAATGACTCAGTCAGCTACTGTACGTAGCATCAGCATCAGTGTTTTTCTACATGGACCAGCCTCACCCGTGATTGCTGTATCTCCAGGCCCCCCAAAAAGAACATCTCAGAAAGAAACTAATTGCACAACCCACCTGTGCAGCATGGCTTGCTCAGGTTCCACAGCATGGGGGCCGTATGGAGCTCCTGCCATGGATTGCTAGTTTTGGGGGGGAAGTTATGGAGCCACTGGTGAATCAACCTTTGATGCAGTCACTACATGACGGTTTAGACAAACTGAGGCCCGGTGGAATTGGATGGTCACAACTATGGGGATGCTTGTGCCACCTGTAGCCCGAGTGCTCAAGCCCCCGAATCTCCCATGTGGTTACTGTAGCCAGTTCACATTGGCTCGTCAGGCATGAGGCTGGGTCCGTGCCAAAAAACGGGACGCACCATGACACCATGTTTGACAATGTAAATGTAGGGTAAAACACAATGCAGCTTGGTGCAGTTGTAAACTTGTGATCATTTAGTATTCACCAGTGGGTGCGAGATAAAAGAGCTCCTGGTTGATGGAAAGGTGGCCTGCGAGATGTAGCCATTTGGATCAAGTGCCTCGGCGCGTCATGGCCCGGAAGATTTTTGTGGGCTCCTTGCCACAGAACATCTCTGAGGATGAGCTGAGGCATGAGTTTGATGCCTTCGGCGATGTAGAAGAAGTCTTCATCAAGGAGCCATGGCACAAACAGACAGGCTAGGAGGCTGTGGGTCAAAACCAGGATACCTTGGTTGACCTACTTGGAAGGTCAAGCTTCATTTTGGGAGTAGGAGAGCTCGTTGGCCTCTGGAATGGAACATGCTGGAAGGCAGCAATTACTGTAGGTGCAGTGCTTGAGCTTTCCACTAGCAGCTCAATAGCAATGTGCCAAGGACAACTGTCCTCCAGGTAAGCAGTGGGTGCGGCGCTTGGCTTGTGGTGTTTCGCTCAAGCGAATTGCAGTCAACAATGCATCTCGTGCCTTTAGTTGCGGTGTTCATGAGGCTTTCATTACCTACGGAACTTCCGACGAAGCTCTAGCCGCGAAAGAAGCCTGTGATCGCAAACTGGTGTTTCCAGAATCAGAACGTGGCTTGTCTTGACAATATGAGCTTGGCGGATTTTCCTGAGATGTGGTGACAGTTGAAGATGCCTTGGTTTGTGGACTTGCTTTCAGGGCAGGGTCATGACTTATGTCAGCACTCCCTTTGGTCCTGAGGCCCATGTGATGTCATGCTGGCAAAGAACCAAGGCGTCGACCAGAAACACATCAAAACGACATCAAAACGACATTCCACCGGTATCACAGGTGTCATAGTTGACCTGTGGTGTCTGGCGGTAGGCATCGGTGGCTCACCTGGGGCGACACCCGAAGCGAGCGTGACCTGGTGAAACCTGGATCGGTGGATCTTGCAAGATTGAATCTTTTGACGTGAGTAGTAGATGGGCCATTCATTCCAAGAAGCAGTGATTGGTTCGCGAGACATGAAATCGAATTCTCTTGCTGGAAGCCGCATGGACCTCGAGGATAGCTCACGACATTTTGGCTACATGTTGCCTATACCGCTTGACTGTGTGTTTGGCTCAAGACTGCATGTGCTTTTGGGGCCAAAGTGTCGACACCGTTCCCCGGTAGGCTTTGATGGCCACAGCTTTGCACCTCCTCCCACAGCTTTCAAACACGTTGGCAATTCAGTTTCACCCAGATAAGTGCCCAACAACCTTTAAGCTTCCGAGCTCTTCAAGGG